ACAGTTTTTACATTAAAAAAACTAATTTTCTTCTTGTAAGGAAATCATTTATTTATTCTTATATACTGATATTTTTAAAAAATCAAAGAAATCATTTTTTTATTTAGAAATTCATAATTTTACATCTCATTTTATAAATAAAAAATATTACGTTATATTTATTACGTGTTCTAAAATCTAACAAATATTTTTTAAGTTAAAAAATTATATTTAACAAAATATATTTCTTTAATTTAAAGAATTTTTTCAGTATACATTACCAATTTAAATTTCGAATTTTTTATTTTTTAGTTTAATAGTTATAAATAATTAAATTTATTTTTTTCATGTATAATAATTGTTAATAGAAACATTTACAAAATATTACTACAAATATTTATTTTTTATTTATTATAAATATTGTATAAAATATTTAATCTATATTTTAATAATATTTTGAATAAAGATTTTGATATTTTTTCTCTTTATGTTCCTAAAATATTTATAAAATGTTACTAAAAATATTACTAGAGATACTTTTTTACTTTTTTTACTTTTTTTTATAAAAATGTTATTAGAAATACTTTTTTTTACTATAGATATTGTATAAAATATTTAGTCTATATTTTAATATTTTGAATAAAGATTTTGAAACTTTTTTGCTTTATGTACCTAAAATATTTGTAAAATATTTGTATATTTTTAAAAGATAATTCGACATAAATATTTATGAATTTTTATCATAAATATTGTGTGCTGTCTGGGTAATGTGCCGGTTATATATAATCACAGATTTCACTACCTTTCTCAGAAGTTATTAAGACACCTATTACACCATAAACAATGTGCAATACATAAACTCAATGAATATTCTAAAATGGTTTGGAACAAGTATTCTAAAATCGTTCTTGAAGAATATTCCACAAACATTCTCCACAAATATTCTATACACTTTCGAAGAATATTCTTAGCATGTTCTTTTTCATGAAAATATGACTCTAATTGTAATATTCTATGTATATTTATTGAACATTCTATTTGAATATTCTGAAATTGAGAATATTCGCATTCCATAAGAATATTCATAGAATATTGTGTACTATATGGGTATTATATATTGCATTTTATTACAAATCTGTTATTGATGTTTACAAATTTATTATAACTTATCATTTTTCTTTTTGTCTTCCTTAATCAATGCCAGTTCCTTCCATCTTTTGTGCATTACACAATTAAGCCGGTATTCATAGTCAGATCTTATATTTAAGATCATCTGTACTGTACTATAAATACTGTTTTAAGATGTTATGAACCAATCACAGAGTCATATTCGCATTTTAAGACATTACTTAAAACGGTCTTGAAATAAGATTCGACTATGAATACCAGCCGTAGGTGCTCTAATGCTCAAAATAAATTGTATATATTTAATATCCATTTTTAATTATTCTTTGTATGATTTTTTTATTTTAAATGGCACAATAAAGCATACACAATACTTAGTATGTAAAAATATAAATTGATTACTACTTGATATTGTAACTTAATTATCTTTTAAATTATAATATATGTTTTATATCTACCTCAATATGTATACATGTATGTATATCAGTACTTCAATTCAGGACACAATTCTCCTTAATTTATCTTGAAAATTATTTCTAATCACTTTTAGCTTTCACAAAAACATTTTCATGTGACACTTCTCTTACTTTAAAGAAATAATCAGTCTTACATAGCATGAACTGTCAACATCAAAGCTGCATCTAGACAACGTTGTCACTTTTTCGGAATAGTCGACAGTCATGATGTGCATGAATATGTAGATGCATTGTGCATCCAGATTTTCGATTGATTCTAAAGGTACCTTTTCACGCACATCGCTCATCGCTCATTTTCTGCGATATGATGACGTCATGCCGGCGCTAGCGACATGAAATTGTAGTTCGAATTTTCCAACTACAAGCGACATCAGCAAGTGTAAATATTCGAACAATGGATAATGAAATAGTAAGTATAATACGATGAATATATTGAACATGTATAATAATGTTTTTAGTATTAATATTAATAATATTTTTAATGTCTTTTTTACATGTGTAAATATAAATATAAATATATTATTTTTAATTATATAGGTTATGTCAAAAGTATAAAAATATTGGGGTTGTTCCCACTGAAATATATACTACTTAGAACGCGCGCTACCTTTTGATTGTTGCAGGATGAGAGAGAGCATGCTTGTAGGTCGAACACACACACACACACACACACACAGCGCTCTGTTTTTATCTAGTACAGTCTGAACCAAAAGCTAAGTCGGTTGATTTCTAAACATAAGCTGAATCTCCGAATTAGAAACCATCTTTGCTTTGTTTTTCTTAATAATAAGTCGATAAATGAATACTAAATAATAATAAATGAGAATAATAAATGAGAAAAAATATATATTTTTTTTATAACTTAAACTTTCGTTCAAAAGTTTAAGCCATTGCCATTTAGTGGTTACTGCTTTTCATATTATCTCTAACTTTTAACTTGGATTGTATCACATTCTCCCCACTCTCGACTATAATATGAATCAGACAACGATAAGAGGAGAAACAAGAAACCTCTTTCTCATCCCGCACATCTCAAGAGGCAGCGCGCGTTCTAGGTAGTATATAACAAACTTACCTTTTTTTAAAAAAAGATGAAAAAAGACGCCAAGTTCACGCGCTTGCCTGTACGAGTGGAATTATACAAAAATTAATGTTTCTATAAAAAATATTTTATTTGTAAAATAACACATTTAAAAATGTTAATAAGAAATATTGTTGTTTAAACTTCTATTTTTTATAAAAAACGTGATATCAGGTAGTTAGGCCAAGTGAAAATAATTCACGTGTTTCCCTACATAGATAGAATTATATAAAAACAAATATGTTCATATATGAAATATTTCACATACATACTTTCAGAAAACAAATCCAAAGTTAAAACATTATTATTTAAATTTCTATTTTCTACAAAAAGGATGTTAAAAGATAATTAGATCAAACGAAAATATCATTGCGTATATAATAGCTTTGTGTATAGTCACACCATATGTGGTAACTACCCAGATAGCACGATGAATTCTTTAAGTGTTCCTAAAGTTTTCTTTTTTCCTGAATTGTACTTCCTTAGAAATTCGTGGAAGAATACTATAAGAATGATTTAGGAAGTTACATACACCATGATTGGAGTTCCTCAGAACTTCTTAGAGTATTCATATAGAATTACTTCAACTCAAAAAGATTTCTTCGGATTTAATAAATTTTATTGTATCCACACGAAAGAAAGATCAGAAACTTTCCCAGCGAAAACAGCTTAGTCAAAATGATGTCAATATGACATCAAAACCGTCGTTTGTTGTCATTGTGTCAAAAAAATAATTAAATTTGACGAAAAATTGACATCAGATAAATTGACTTTGTACGCAATAAAATTTCATAAGAAAAGGTAAAAATGGATGTTTAGATGATAATTGTGGTATTATAGACCAAAATGTAATCCACGTCATGTTGAAATCAAAATGACTACAGGATGATGAGACTATTTGACTTATTCTTTTATGAACTTGAGAAGAATCTCCGGCGTTGTTTTGTAATGTATATATTGTGGTACAGTAGACTCTCGATAATTTTTTACTTCATGGACTGTAGGAGCGGAAATTCTTGGAAATGGAAAGTTATCGAGAGCCACTACTTCTCAGCTTTCTTTCTTGTTGGTGCGTTAATATATATATATATAT